TGACAACGATGCCTCGGCATAATCGCCCTCTTGTTCGTCTACTCCGCAATCCTTGTTATTTGCATGCTTTTTATACACGCTGGGATCAACGATGGCATTGTATTAACTACAAGAGCGAAGACAACAATTCTTACTAATTGACCCTTTGCGCTTTAACCATTTTATGTAACAAGTCCAAAATTCCATCCCCTAAAACGTTTTCAGTTCTTTCAGAAATAGATTTTTTTTATATTTTGATCACTCAACGTGCATTTATTAAAATATATTACGGCGCAAGTGCCAATTATATTTCTTAAAAACAAAAACTTTTAAAAAGTGCAAAGGGTCGAGAATAACAAAAAAAAAAAAGAAAATCGATTTCATTTGAAATTCCAGCACCGTAGTTGCGTACGTCCATGTATGTTTTAGAACATTAAGATATTATTTTAATGTATAAACGAAGTTAAACGACGTTGCTTTATATACGTAAATATCATGTAAATGGAAGTATTTCTACTATTTCCACAGCTTTTGTCAATTAAAGTGTTAATAAAGGAATGGAAATATCTCTCTCATCTAATTTTCACTCTGATGCTAAAATTCTAATCTCAATGACACACTACAAAAGCAAGACAAGAAGACATCTGTGTAAAGCGTTGCTTTAAATTCAATGGAAAGGACGATTAAAATCTGGACTTCCATCATAAAATTAAAGCACCAAATCTTGCAATCTTCTCATTTAACTCACTACTTATTCATACAATTAGGTCATTGCAGGCCTCTAACCATTGTATGCTTTGTGCGGCGTCTAAATTGTCGATATAATTAGCTAAATCGTCTTGGTGAGTTCCAGTGGCGGCACAATACAACATAGCGGTATTTTCTAGTAATTCTTGCAGAGACTGTGTCTTCGCAATAGCTGAATTTACGCTGCTACTCGTCGTCGAGGTGTTCTCTTTCTTCTCCAAGTTCGTTACGCTCGATTGCCCCTTTTGAACTGTCTCCATTTGTTTAGAGACCTCGGTTCTTTTATCGGAGGATGTTTCGCCAGTTGTCTGGTCAATTTTAAACAACGACTGTTTATTCAGAACCCCCAAACAGTGTCGTTTGTCGTTCGAGTTGCTTTTTAAATCCTTCAACTTCTCCACGGTCAAATGAAAGCGCCGCCATTTTCCCTGGGGGAAAGTTATATTCACATTTCTGTCCACGGCACTCTCCTGAACGTTCTGCCTAGTCTTCTCCTCTTTCTTACAGAGTTCTTTCACTCTGATGTTCTTCACATTAGCCCAAGAAGTCTGGCTCTCCGTGGCTGACTTTTTCAGATTGCTTTTATTGTACTCTGAAAGTATCTTCGCTATTTCCGAAGTCTCGCCAGTGCACCAGGTCTTGCTCAGACTGCCAGACATGGTCTTCAGGTTCAATTGTTTGTTAGTCGTCTCGTAACACGTTCTTCTCTCGACAGAATTCGGCTCTCTTCCCGACTGAACCTTGTTCTGTTGCGTGTTATCAAGGAGATACTTCGTCATCGTGAACTCCATTTTACTCGCTCGCTTTCCAGAAGGCTGTTTCACCTCCTCGTTAGATATGTTCTTATATATAGAGGTCACTTCACCTAGAGTTTCCTCGCTGGTCGAGGATTCTTCCACTTTGCTCACGTTCGCCTGGTTGCTAGTGCCTGGTTTCAAAAGCTGCGTGTCCTTCGCCTCTAAGGGATTCACTAAAATAAAAGGGCTTTTCGAAGATCGCACCACTTCCTGGATCTTCATGTGCCCGCCTTGAAAAGTTTTGAGATTAGTAAACGCAATGGACTTTTGCGAGTTGGCTACGTAAATCTTTTGAGCAGGGAACAATCGTGTTTTTGGAACCTGAGCGAAGCTTTTCACGCTCTGAGGGAGCAATGTGACCCCGCAATTGTCCAGGAACTTGTTCTCCTCCGCCAGTTTCTGCAAATTCTCTTTAAAACTGGCGGAAGCGTTACTTTTGGAGTTCAACTTTGAAGCGTTCGCCGCTTCCTTGCCAGCATCGGGTAAGCTTTTACTCTCGTTCAACGTGTTCATCTTCCCCTCTACGTTCGTCTTGTAACTCGGCGCCATTATCTGAGAGCAGTAGCCAAGAACACAGTGGAAACTTTCATGCATGCAGGTCTCGAAGGACTTGTCTGTCTCGCACGGCTCCGAGGATCTCGGAGCGCCACTTTTGAAAGCGGCAGGGCCTCTGTTCGACTTGACTTTCTTTCTATGTTTTTTTTCAGCGGACGACGGCAGGCAGTCACAGTGAGGATCCACGGACACCACTTCGATCTCCGGTCTATCGATTATTTCTCGGTATGAGAGCCCGTCCAAGCTCATGAAGTAACGTCCCAAGTACTCTGCAGCCAAACCAACCTGAGAACATGTGTTCATTGAGTACCAAATTCAAATTGGAAGATACATCTGTTTGTAATTTCAAGATCAAAAAATGTAGTTTATAAGTATTTTATTACTTCAATAAAGTAGCCTACTTGTGGATGAAACACCGGTCGTTCGTGCATGCCATGAACAGGCCACTCTTTCCACTCTGTTTCATCTCTTATGGTGGGCGCCTGGTAAGTTGCCCCCACATTGTACATTTTGCGTGTAACAGACCTCGTGTTCATGTAAGGCATGCTGGAGGATTTCCCACGTCTGATCGGTTCAGAATTGAAGAGCATCTCCTTGCGTTTTGCAGAGAGCAACCGTTGACGTGGACGGGAGAAATCTTTGCCCGGGTCTCTCTTCGTGACGCGCGTCGGGTTTCTTCTGACTTCCGCCGCTCCGCGGCTGCAATCGCATTGAAATTTCAAATTAATTTAGAATTGTCGAGACACATTGTTCGGGATTCTGTTTCTACGAAAAATTCAGGGAAAAAATCTACAATTTCGGGAAATTGAAAATTTCGGTAAAACTCGAAAGTTCGAGAGTTTCGATATCTTCAGATTTTCCCTTTAAGATTTGGAAAGATTTTGGAAATTTCGAATTTTGCAAACAGTTCCAAAGAAATGAGAGAGTGAGCAATTTCTGAACGTAGAAATTTCACGGATGAATATTTTTATACAGACACTACCGAAATTTTGGTATCTCTCTATCATCTACTATCAAAGCTTAAAAATGTAAAAGTCAAATTAAAATAAGAAAAAAAAAAAAAATCAAAATCCTCAGTCTAGCAATTCTGCCGATCGTTTTACGAAACGTACTTCTTCCTCGCGGTGCGATGAATCCTTTTGACTTTGGTCACCCCGCTGCTGGAAGACGACGCCCCGCTACTCGTCTCGGTGGAGTCCCTCACGTAATCACTGTCGTCCTTGTACTTTTTCTCCCGTTTAATGACGATCGTTCCAGCCGGAAGTTTCTGAAGGACCTCGACGTCCTCGGCCGCGTTGTCCTGCTCGGTCGATAACGAGTCCAGATCAAGCTGCTTGCGTAGTGCCATTTTGCATCGTTCGTCGCTCAGCTCGAACACTCGTCGGCCCTCGTCCGACGTTTCGTCCTGTCGTTGCATCGGGGACCGATCGTTTTCTTTTCCTATCGCAGCAATCACACTCACATCGTCGTCGTCATCGGTAAGTTGTTTTTCTTTCGAATCGTCCATCCGATTTCTCACTTATAAAACTTTATTTACTCGATCGTTCACGTCGCACATTTTCCGTGCAGTTTGTCGAATATTTCAGCTTGGCGATCTTCACGATGGACAACACGCGTGAAATTCAGTGCGCGTCTGTACGCGACTGAATGCTCCTTGGAGTGGAAATTTATTCTTGCACGTAGAGAGATTGATCGGTAAAATTGTTTCAGTGTATGTTGTTGGATTTCTTGAGAGGAGAACACTTACCGGTTAAGCGAAACTGTTTCCGTTTAGAACGAGAACGATTACGAGGAAATTATAACCGATAGCACACCGGGCACGTGTCACGTTTCTTTTGTTTCTCGCAGCCCAATAATGGGAACAATAGTGTCATCTAGGTGATGGAGTTTCGACAATATTGTGAAATACGACGTTATCGTGGAATCAGATGAACTACCCAAACTTGTATGCTCATGAACTTTGAATACTTTCTCAAATGTTGATTCCCAATTGAATCAGACTTTCAAACAGTGAACATGAATTTCATTTTGAAAGTGTCGGCAACATTAATAATATTAACAATTTATTTATCTTTTATAGAATGCTACGACATTTATCATGGGAGATGGTTACTGTTTATGCAGAACAATATCATTGAGTAACTAGACACCCAATTCTTGTCAGATTCTACCATATCGATTTAGACAAGTTTTTCACCGCAACGCTACTAATAATAAGTAATAAGAATTAAGACTAACAAGTAATTACTAATAGTACGAAGAATTAGGATCAGAAAATATGAATAATGTTGTCACATCTGCATCGAAAATTATCTATTGAACTAAACATGAATGCTTTTTTAATTTGGATAACTATTCTTAAAAGATGATCAACTTAATTTTTGACTATAATGTAATTATTTTCTACATAAATTAGCATTATATTATTCATCATATATATATAAATTGAATATATATCAACAGAGTTATAAGTCGAAAACTAACCATGCAAGCAAAAAATATAGAAATTACAGTATTTGTTGTTGTAAATAATTAATGAAACAATAAAAATTGTAAAATTATTGATTACTGTAATAGAAGAACTATTTTTGAAAGTATTACAGTCAATAATTCTACCTTTAGTCAATGATGGCAGTATCAAAATCAATATTAATCGCAACATAATTATAAAAATAACCGATCGTCGATAAAATAATATTATTTATTGCAACTACTGAATAAACATCAAAATAAACACAGTAGTTTTATAATTAACACGATATTACACCTTAACATTGTTCTACATGAAAAGTATTTAGAAATTAATAAATTTTCATCTTTCAACAGAATTTCATCTTACGATTCAATCAGACTGAAACGGATACACTACAGTGACTCATAACGTGGATACCTCGTGCTGAAGGATGTCGAAGAGGAAATGAAACATAAGATTGCCATAGCTCTTCTGCACAAGCGCTGATTTTATTCCAAACGAAATACTAAAAACTAGAATATATAGCTATTCCCCTCTTACATGTACACCCGTTTACGTATAATATATAGAATTATTTATATGTAGAAATACGAAATATAATATCGTCGCCTCGTATTGCACGGATCCAAACTAGAACTGAAATGTATACATATATTCATGTATAACGTTTTTTTTTTTTTTTTTTTTT